CCAACAGTAAGTGATATGAGTGAAAGCGAGCGACTGAATTAGGCGTACCAGTGTTTTCCGCGGAAGAGTGTCTCTGAGTTTGCTGATAGTTAAGAGACTGTTGTAGCACCGTCTCGTTACGTTGCTGACTTGTGGGCGCATACTCAGTTCCGAGTCAAGAACCACGCCGAGGATTTTGATGTGTTGTGCTGGCTGCAGGCTTAGTCCGTCAAATGAACTCGAGAAGCCTGTCGCCTTTTTCAGCGACGGCGCGGTTCCGAAAAGAATCAGCTCTGTTTTAGAGGGATTGGCTTTGAGTCCGTTCGAAGTGAACCACGCGGAGAGATGTGACAGATCAGCTTCCACAGTGAAACGCAGCTGAGCTAGGTCCGAGGGTGTGGGCCGTGCACTGTGTATGATTTGAGAGTCGTCGGCGTAAGACACAATGGATGCCTGGTTCGACAGGTGACATGGTAAGTCGTTGGTCAGGAGGTTGTACATGATCGGGCCCAGAGTGCTGCCCTGTACCACACCGTAAGTCACATCAGCGGTTGCACTGCTCCCTACACTGTAAAAAAAGTTTAGCATTTGGGGTACTAACGGCTGCTATTCGTAGCACCTTTTAGCGTCAAAAGAACCCTACGACGTATTTACAAAGAAGCATGGTGCTAATACTGTGCTAATGATAGCTAACATTCCCATCAAATATTATAAGTTTAGATCACCTATTCTTCTACTGAGCTTAACGTCTACTTCTGCTAGTACCCAGTCCATCAGTGAGTGCTCTTTCAAGCTGGATTTCTAATTAGAACCATTTTAAGTGTTTTAGAAGTTGGTAATGCTGAATATGGTGCTTACGTTAGTATCACAATAGAACCGGACATGTTTACAGAGGAAACAAATTTGAAATTGGCGCCAAAGAAAGTAGCTAAGCCCTGCTTTACAAATCTCTGGGAGTCTTATCACCAGCCCTTTAGCACGTTTTGACGGCGCAGAGCGATATGCGCATGCGCGTGCCAGCTGTTTCCGGCCACGTGTTGCGCCATTTTAGTGGAGTCCGTTGGTCGTGGTGGGAGTGTGTGCACGTGCTCCGGTATATGAAGGGAAATGAAGTGAAGTGAAGTGCTCCGGGCACATGCCACCGAGTGATAGCTCTGGAATGATAGCTTAAATCAGCTATTATCGGTGGAATCCGTCGTGCGTGGCATGGGAGTGCGTGCCCCTGCTCCGGGAGGCAGTGAGGTGGAGGGAAGTGCAGTGCAGCAGTGCAGTGAAGTGAAGTGAAGTGCTCCGGGGCCGGGTGGTACATGAGCATTTGCCACCGACACATGCCACCGACACCGACGTTGATCGACTTTGGTGAGTCTGACACGTTGTATCTTTTGACATTATCTTATATTGTTTAAGTGCTTCATATTCCGACTTTGGCAAATCGCGCTTCTTGGTCTGAAGGAAAGTTGTGTTGTTTGCGAAAATAGCTCCCAACAGAAAAAAAATCTTGGAACTGATCCAGTTTTTTTTTTTTGCTCCAGGCATGGGGCCTGGTCAGTTCTTCCGTCGACTACCACTTACAATGGAGGACAACTACGACAACAACACGGGGTCTCCGGTTCCGTCTATCACTAAACGCCGTCTGGTCGTGGATGAGGTCGAACTTATGGCCATGAACGGAACGTCGGTTCAACGACCCCCCCCCCCGCCTCCCCCAGTCGATCTCGCGTTAATCGTCGGTCACTGCGAGTGTGCAGGTATATGAGCGACCTTTCGTTATTTTCCGTGCGTTTGTTTGTGTATATATTTACATTTGTTTTTCATGCAGATGATATGAAGTGTTAATAAATGTTCCATTATTATTTTTTAATTTTATAATGTGTTGGATGCTTGAAAGATGCACTTACACGGGAATATTGCAGAATGCAAAACACAATCATTGAGACTTGTAGTTATCACTTATCTAGGATATAACCTTTTTTGCACGTCTTTTCGGCCTTACACAATTTCCTTTTTGGTAATTGATTAGTCCTTTTTGCAGTAACTATCGGACTGTACGTAAATGACGGTGAATGATATAGCAAAAGGTCACATCTTATGTCGTCATAAGAACTTCGTGTAACGACTCAATGTACAGCCTTCTCCAAACTGCGTGGTAGGTATTCTTTTTTCGGCAAAACCCAGAATAGCGTGAATACTATGCTATTGGTCACTCGGAAATTGTAACATTAGACGCGCGAGACTCCGCACCTTAGATTGGCATTGTCATCGCATTCATTTTCCATCCAGTTTGGCAACAAAACCCAAAAATTTATATTGGCCCACAAAACAAACTTTTGCATTTTGTTGCCACATAGGGCGTAGGTATACTTCGTTTGGGGGCATACCCAATCGAAGGAGTGGAGCATGGCGCAACTACCTATTTGTTGTGAGTTCCGACCGACTGATAACATAGCCTTTGAGTTATTATCGGTTTTGTCGAAAAAAGAATACCTACCACACAGTCTGCTGAGGGCTGTACATGGACAGCTCAACCTACACTCTAATTTCAGGGACTCACCTGAATAAATGGTTCATTTTTTCACGCCCGGGCGGTGGCCCGGCCGTAACAAGAGCCGGATGTGTTGTTCGATCTCCCCTTCCAGCTTGACTTCTGGGCCATGCGGTGTTCGAAAGGTCGTCAAAATTATGAAATTGTACTCCAGTAATGCTTTGGCAATGTTCGAAAGGATGCCAAATCTAAAACAAATAGCTAAACCATTTTTAGGTCAGGCAAATTTTTGGCAATTTTTGGCTCGTAGCTGTTGTCTCCAGTTTGACCTTAAAACGATGCCTTAGAGGGCAAAAACCTAAAAAAATGGACGAAGACTTTTTCTGTCTTAACCCTCGCCCCGTTGGGGGGGGGGCAATTTGCCCCCCTCCCCTGTGGTTTTTCCTGAATAGCAGGAAAACGGCGGCGCGCAGCGCCGCCAAATTTTTAGCACCGTCCCGAGCATCAATTTGACACCTTCACACCAAATTTCAAGTCTTAGGTCACCTCAGGTCAGGAGTTATTGAGGTCAAACTGAGGTCATGTTCGAGCAAAAATGAGCAAAAAACATGCAATCTTGAAACGCTCACCAAATCTACAATTATCAAGCAATTTCAAAGTTCTTTATATGGTGTAGTAGACAAAAAGCGGCGCTACAAAACTGCTCCCTCGGATTGTCAAAATTTTGGGTTTTTTGACCCCTAAAAATTCAAAAAATTGATTTTTTTAAAGAAAAACTGAAGAAAAAAAATCCAAAAAATTTCCAAATTTCGAAAAAAAACAGAATATATGTGGTATTCCCTGCGCTCTTCTATATATGTATACCAGATTTCAGATCCATATCTCGTTTTTTGGCCAAGTTATAGCGAAAAAAAACTTCAAAAATGATTACGTCAAATTTTTAAACTCAATTTTTAGCGATTCTAGACCACGTAGGGCAAAACCAAAACCATTATTGAACTCCCCGTGACGAGCTGCATCGATTCGATACCCATTTTATGCAAAAATATCAACTTTGAAATTTGACCTAAGTTGACCTGACCTTCACCTGACCTTGACCTGACCTTGACCTGACCTTGACCTGACCTTGACCAAAACGTGACCTATACGCTGGCCCCAAAGGCTGCATGACCCACATAATCGCATTTGTCATGTAAAATGGACCATGTGAAATGGACAAACATGTATCACACGACACTTTCATATTGTGACCCCCTAGTGACCTGACCTCAGTGACCTGACCTGGTATCAGTGACCTCAAATAGCAAAATATGTGTTTGAAGAACATTTCCCCATCGATGATTTTCAATGAAATGCATTTTACTCGATTTTACAACGCATTTCTTGAAATGCCTGTAAACGGTGAAAATTCGACCTTTGACCTGACCTGTGACGTCATCGATTTGACCTAGGTCAATAAAATTGGGTCACAAGGTAGTTCCCTGATAGGGCTATCCAACACCGTTTGCCGCTTGTCGCTAGGTTGCGTGGTTCTCGAGATCTTAGGGGGGGGGCAAATTGCCCCCCCCCCTCCAACAGGGCGCGTTGCTCGGCAGAGCCCAACGGGGCGCGGGTTAATTTCTTACCACAGGCGTTTCCGATATTGACATTACCACCATCGTTTTTCTAGCGTTAACCCTAGCCCGTATAGGGGGTCGAACGGACCCCCCTCGGTTTTTCGCGAATAACTCGCGTAAAAAGCGGTCGATCGCGACGAAACTTCTAGAACCCTCGCGTTAATCACTTTTGAACCTACCCTAAAAACGTCATGACCCTGATCAAAATGACCTTTGACCTGTGACCTCTTTTCCGAGACCATGTTTGGCCGGAATCGCGATTCCGCGTATGTCGGCTCGCATTAGCCGCGCGTTTGCAAGTTTCTCGTGGTTTCAAACGCTCAAACATGAGATTTGATGCTGCTCCCATGCATTTGGGCGGATATCAAGGTCACCTGAAGGTCAGGTCAGGTCATTGACCTTTGGTGACCTCGGTTCACTTTTTCGAGCTGTACGTACATGTTTCTAGGCTAGTTTTTTTTTTTTTAGCTGAATTCGAATTTACCAACCATTTGAACATTTACGAAGTAGTTTTGGTGCCTTCGTAACATGTTACGAAGCTGTCAGAGGCACGTACTACGAGTACCCGTCACGACGCCTACTGGTTGACCTGACCTGACCTGACCCGACCTGGTCTAAATGCTTGAAGACATCATCTGTGATCAAAACTTACACAATATTCATGATCAGCACACCGAAAACCCCTTAGCAGTCACACTTAACGACTCTCTAACAGGTCCCGATTTTCCCGACTTTGGGTCGTTGACCTGACCTGGAAGGTCAACCAATGACCTAGGACCTTAAAATCGGGTATCATCGGCTTCCTCTCGTCACGGAAAACACGCTCGTTTTTTCCGCGAAGCTCTAGCTCGATCAGGGGCCAAACGGCAAGGGGGGTCCATCCGACCCCCCCCCCTACACATTAGAAGCTGGCAAACGCCGCACACATGCGAGGATTATATTAGGCAAACGTTGATATCAACACCAATACTGCCTCTATAGGCAGTACCAGTCACCAGTATCACAATACCACTCTAAGAACAAGCTATTAAGCATGCTAGCTATCTAATAAAACACATGCAGCATAACCTAATGATAACTGTGTCTAACGGTGCAAAAATCTTCTCAGAAATAAAAACTGTCCAGAAATCTTAAAGTCCACTATAAGCACTGACCGCAAATGATGACTGCATCAGCCAAGGCTAAAAAAGACAGAACTGACAAGTGTCATGGCACTGGCATAAGCAACAAAGCCGGCATACACAAAACCCGACATGGCCCAGGTCACAGGGCGTAACAGGTCACTTAGGGGCGTAACTGCCGTCACTGAAAACGACAAGGTGAAACAGTCTGATATGATCCCACTAAGTAAGTCACATCACTAAGGCAGACTAGGCGTACGATATTCCAATATGCCAAAGGGACGAGTCACAATGACGGACTAAGTTAGCGGTTCTTCGCCACGTCTAAGGGAATAACCACATCGATTTTTACATACATCACTAAGGCAGACTAGCTAAAGGCGTTTTTAGTAAACCCAACAGGCAGCACGAATGTCCAACTCCCCGCTGAGTCAGCCCCAAGGTGTATGGAAACTGCCGACCGTAGTTTCAGTATAGCACAATATCTCTAACCATCTACAACATGTGAAGAATTGCTCTCGCTCAAGAAATAGAGCCCGTCACGTGACACCTTAACGATCGACGGCAGATTTACTGGAAGTTTGAGTACATGTCGAAGGTCTTCAGCCACGCCAGAGCCGCGTCGTAGCAGAGTTCGTACTGTTTCTGAAATCACCACAGGTTCAATGTCAAATGTCACCTTAGAGTCTCGGTTGGGAGTGGGGCAGCACCAAATCAGCTCCATTGAATTCGTGTGATAATGAGAAAATGTGTGCTGGGCGTAACCGTTATTAGAATAAAACTTCATTTTCCGATACCAAACCCTAACCCGGGCCGCGTCCCGCGCATGACTGTAAGGGGGACTCTTCAGAGCGCCCCCCGTTTTTCTGCAATATCTTCCAAACCACCGGACGTATCGACACGAAACTTTTCGTAACCTTCGCTGCATCAATTTGACTCCTTGCGTCAAAAGAAAACTTCGTAGCTGTTAACAATGCTTTTTATAAAAAGTTAAGGTTTTAACCCGCGCCCCACTGGGGTCTGCGTATAACACGCCCTACTGGGGGGGGGGGGGGGCTCTTCATAGCCACCCCCTAACTCCGAAACTACTGAACCGATCGTCAAAATTCAAACGGCGTCTGATAGCCCCGCAAAACCTGTCGAGACAAACCTAATTTCATTCACTTCAAGGTCAGCAATGACGTCACAGGTCAGGTCAAAGTAAAAATAATTAGCATTTTGGCTTGTTCACATTTTGGGCTCTGGCCGCCGTCTTACAAGTCAGATTAGGCAGATTAGGCTCATTTTTGGTTTACACACTCGTGAACAAATGCTTTAGATACCCTGAGGGTACAAAACTTGTACTTGATTTTCAGGTCGGGGTCAGGTCATTACAGGTCACGGAAATATTTTATGATGCGTCGGTCACGTGACACATTTTTTATGGTCCATTTAAGCCATAGATTTCTAATTTGATGTCGTTTGTGTCATTTGAGGTCATTTTGAGTTGAATTTAGCTTAGGTCAGGTCACTTTAAGGTCAAAAAGGTCAAATTTAGAAGTTACAATTTTTCAACAAAAAAGGTGTCTTTTGGATGCAGTTTGAGCTCAGGAACTCGATGGTGCTATTTATATTGGTGTACGATGTCAAAAACATACTGAAAAAAAAAAATTGACTTGAAAAATTTATAATTGTGAATTTTTTGCAATAATGCGTATAACTTGGCCATATTTGAAGTTATTTAGATAAAACCTGCTATTGCAAGCCATAAGCATGTGTTCTATCACATTTATTCCTTTTTTTCGGAAAGTCAAAAAGTTTTTAAATAAATATAAAAATATAAATTTTGAATTCTATTATATATAATTTTCAAAATTTTCCAACTTTCGAAAATCCGAGATGGCAGTTTGATAGCGCAGTCTATTTTGAGTCCTCTCATGCAAAGAAATTGGATCTATCTAGCTTAAAAACTGAGCTCTTGGGAGCGATTGCCGTGGTTCAATGTTTTGCGTCGAAATCGGCCGAACATGACGTCACTCTGACATCATTTCCGGACAACCTATGGTAGCTACGAAGCTTATGTTTTGACACAAGGGCTACGTTTCCATGGCACAAGCTAAGCCGATTTTGAAAAATGGATTTGCTCCATCATAGCATTTAGGCATAATTTTACAATGTAAATATAGGATTAGGTGCTAGCTAAAACCAATAACCATATATACGCTCATTTTTTTGCATAAGGTAAATAGTTTCCGAGAAAAACGCACGTGAAATTTCGCTAAATCGATTTAGACGTGTCATGGAAACGTAGTGAAGGTGTCAAATTGATGCAGCCGAAGGTACTAAAAGTTTGGGGTCGATACGTCAAGCGGTTTGGAAGTTATTGCAGAAAAACGGAAGGGGGCTATGAATAGCCCCCCCCCCGCCCAGTGGGGCGCGGGTTAAGTATAATGCAAAGTACCATAAAATGGCCGAGAAGGACGTCACAGTGACGTTATGTTCGAGCTGTTTTATTCAAAACATTGATCTACGGCAATCGCTCTCAAGAACCTAGCTTTTGAGCTAGTACCAATTTACTTGCATGAAAGGACACAGAATATATACATTACCCAGGCCTATCAAACTGCTATCTCTGATTTTCTACAGTGGCTGAATGTTTTGTGAGTTGCACATATATCTAAAAAAATTTATATACTTTTTAAATTATGGCCTTCAAGTTTTTGACCTTGTGAAAGTACATACCATGTGTGATAGAACATATTTATGTTACCATATACCGATGATTTACTCAAAAAGGGTTTAGCTCAAAATCGTCAAAAATGGCCTTGGAATGGCTGTCGAAGGTTTTCAATTTCAAATGCCTTTTGCAATTTCGACAATAGAAACAGTAGTTTTGGCTATAGGAGAGAGGCAAAACACAACAATGTTATGAGCTGATCGGACTTTGTGAACTTAACAGCATTATAATTCAAAATACCAGTCGCAACAAATTTGAGTGTTTGCCACACAGGATAGTACTGCCGCTTCAACCCTATTGGCCGTAGTGTCCAACGGTGGCGCCCATATTGCGCACACCAAGAACCGGCCGCCGCCTGTGTTGGGGAATAAGGAATTCGGGACCTCGATTTACGTTTGCGGCCGCCGCATCCGTTACGTTCAAGTTACGAAGACACGGGACCCGGCATCTTACGCGGAATTGAGTGGGGAACACGATCAAATCTTCAGAATTCCTCAGATACAGGGAACTTATGTGTTTATCACTCGTCGGACCATCGTCTTTCTACATTTGCCCCGGCCGAGGGGGTTGATTGAACCCATCTCACTAATGCGCCGCTAATTCAACTAGAATTTAGCGGTAAAGTGGTGGTATGCGCCATTACAAGGCAGAATGACTGGTAGGAATCCACTTTAACACGCGCAGTGGAAGGGTTGCGAGTACTACGCCCAGTGGAAGGGGGGGGGGCGGATGTTGCCCCCCCCCCCCTAAGATCTCAGCTCCCACTAGAGCTAGTTAGAAAACGAAATTTGGAGGGTAGGTGAAGGCCCTGGGGATCACTGTTGTGTGTGAATTTCATGACCCTATAGTAGGTCAATATCTTCAAGGTCAAAGTAGGTCAAATGTGGTCCAATCTTCTATATGAGCAACTTGTTTGCGTTTACACGCCAATAACTCAAAAAGTTACCGGCCGATTTTCTTTTTCTTTCACCATACGAAAGAACATACATTTGTGAGTACTGAGTATGTATGGTGAATTTATAGTTAATCTAACATTAAATATGGTAGTTAGAAGCCTGCTAATGGTAAGATGTCGCCGGCTGAAGCGGGATCGGCCGACGCGGAAAACGCGGCAATCACAATTTTGTGTTTATACACTCATAACTCAAGTCTTAACCGGCCGATTTTCAAAATTATTTTACCATAAGGTTGCCCGTACATTTCTTAGTCTTCTCACAAAATTTGACGCGAATCGAATATAATCAGCGGTAAGGAGCGCGATGTAAAGACGGAACCATCCCGCCCCGGCACAGTCTACAATTCAGGCAACGGCTAGCGCCGGCCGCCGCGCCCTCCCACAGCCGCGGCGGCAGGATGTTTGACTTTACACCGCTATTACTAGAAAAGTTGTGAAACGATTTTCTTATTTCTCACACGAAAAGATCCTCAATTCAATTCTCGACAGGTAGCCAAAACTTCACATTAATATTACGCTTACAGCGCGAGTTATTGGCGAGAAACAGGAGGGGTGGGCGAAATCCCCCCTTCCACTGCGAGTGTTAACCCTCGCATGTGTGCGGCGTTTTCCAGCTTCTAATGTGTAGGGGGGGCGACCGGGGGGGGGGTCGGTTGGACCCCCCTTGCCGTTTGGCCCCTGATCGAGCTAGAGCTTCGCGGAAAAAACGAGCGTGTTGCCCGTGACGAGAGGAAGCCGATGATACCCAATTTTAAGGTCCTAGGTCATTGGTTGACCTTCCAGGTCAGGTCAATGACCCAAAGTCGGGAAAATCGGGACCTATTAGAAAGTCGTAAAGTGTGGCTGCTAAGGGGTTTTTCGGGGTGCTGATCACGAAAATTGTGTTAGTTTTTATCACAGATGATGTCTTTAAGCATTTAGACCAGGTCGGGTCAGGTCAGGTCAGGTCAATCAGTAGGCGTCGTGACGGGTATTCGTAGTACGTGTCAACCGCCTCTGACAGCTTCGTAACATGTTACGAAGGCACCAAAACTACTTCGTAAATGTTCAAATGGCTGCTAAATTCGAATTCAGCTCCAAAAACTAGCCTAGAAACATGTAAAACTCGAAAAAGTGAACCGAGGTCACCCGAGGTCACCAAAGGTCAATGACCTGACCTGACCTTCAGGTGACCTTGACACCCACCCTAATGCATGGGAGCAACATCAAATCACATGTTTGAACGTTTGAAACCACGAAAAGCTTGCAAACGCGCGGCTAATGCGAGCCGACGTACGCCGAATCGCGATTCCGGCCAAACATGGTCTCGGAAAAGAGGTCACAGGTCAAAGGTCATTTGGGTCAGGGTCATGAAATTTTCAGGGTAGGTGTCAAATTGATCAATGCGAGAACACTGAAAGTTTCGTCGCGATCGGCCGCTTTTTACGCGAGTTATTCGCGAAAAAACATGGGGGGGTCCATCCGACCCCCCCCCCCTACACATGCGAGGGTTAAAGGTATAAGGTCAACCGGTGTCCTCTGAGGTCAGCTCAAGTGGCCTAAGACACGGGCTCAGGTTTTGGTAAATAACTTCACCAAAAAAAAAAAAAAACGCCATTTTAGCATCAGCGTGTTCGCCTAGCTCAGGCGCGTCGAGTGGTATACTTTTTGTTCGGGTAAGGTCAATTTAAGGTATTGACCTCGTGACAAGGTCAGGTCAGAGCTCTCAGGTCACGAAGCTGATCGAGTTAGGTCATGTTGCATAGCATTCGATTCGGCAGGTCTTTCTGAGTCCATTTGTGGCTTTTCCAATTTGCTAGCTCAATATGATCGGGAGTTATTGAAGAAAAACTTATACCCCTAGTTCTCTGGCACTGAGTGCGTTACGAATTTGCTACATTTTGAGACCGGGGAGAGGTTCACTTATGACGTCATAGGTCAGTGACCTGACCTGACCTGAAAATGCGGTTGAAGTCACAAGGTCCGCCTTGAATCAAAGTTCAGGTATGCCATGTTTCAGCTCTCTACCTGCTAAATCGAACGATATGCTACAGGACCTTATTCGAACAGCTTCGTGACCTGAGGGGTCTGACCCGACCTTGAGACGGGGTCAACACCTTAAATTGACCTTACCCGAACAAAAAGTATACCACTCGACACGCCTGAGCTAGGCGAACACGCTGATGCCAAAATCGCGGCTCTGTAGCTGCTTTTGGTGAAGTTATTTACCAAAAACTGACCTCGTGCCTTAGGTCACTTGACCTGACCTCAGACGTTACGGTGTCACCGGTTGACCTGAGACCTGACCTGAGACCTTAAAAGTGGATTTATAACAGTCACTCTTCCTTGTAACGGCGCATACGACCACTTTACCGCGAAATACTAGTTGAGTTAGCGGCGCGTTGGCGAAGTGGGTTCAATCAACTCCATCAACCGGGGCGAATGGGGAAAGACGATGGTCCGGCGAGTGATTCACGTATAAGCTCCATGTAACTGAGGATTTTAGAAGATTTGATCGTGTTTTCCACTCAATTCTGCGTAAGATGCCGGGTTCCGCGTCTTCGTAACTTGAACGTAACGGATGCAGCGGCCGCAAACCTAAATCGAGGTCCCGAATTCCCGATTCCCCAACACAGGCGGCGGCCGGTTCCTGGTGTGCGCAATATGGCGGCACCGTTGGACACCATCTGGCGGCCGATGCGCTTTCCACATCAAAGAGTTCAGTGGTTCGCCATGTCAAGCCGTGATGCTGCATTTGAAAAAAAAATCAACATCCAATGATTTAGGAAGCTTGTGGCCAATCAGGCTTCATTAAGGCCCTAGGAGCACTAACCAGCGTCCTGATGAACTGCGGCCGGCTCTTGCGCACCGTGGAGACGGCCATCGCCACGTCAATCTCCTGCTCCTCCGCCAGCTGGTCCATGACGAACGAGGAGGCGATGAACAGGCCGCAGCCGGTCACACCGGTCCTGACACCACAAAAAAATGCTCAGTACTCACTGTCACACCGGTCCTGCCGCCGACATACGTGCTCGGTACTCACTGTCACCACTGACCCCCCAAAAACATGGTCAGTACCTACTCACTGTCACATTACCCCGCGCGGGGCTTGGGGGGTAAATTTTACCCCCTCGCAAATTTTTGCAATATCTCAAAAACGGTGGCACGCAGCGCCGCCAAACTTTCAGTACCTTTTTTTACATCAATTTGACACGTTCCCTGAAAATTTGAGCGAAATCCTACGGATTTTTTTTTTGGAGAAAATGACGTTTTAGTGACGTCATGTTCGCCATTTTCGCCTCAAAAACGGCACAATTTCAAACGCCGCTAACATCTTCATTTTTAAAGGAATCAAAACGTAACAAAAAGGTTATACGTGATTCGACTTTGTCTATCAAATGGCTATCTCGACTTTTTGAAAATTTTGGATTTTGGCCCATTTTTTTCAAAAAACTGATTTTTTTAGAAAATAATTAAAAAATCCAAAATTTTGCGTGTATCGAAAAAAACGGAATATATGTCAGAGAAGTGGTATATGTGCACCTACATACCAATTTTGAGAAAAATCGGTTCATAAATGTGGAAGTTATTCAAAATTTTATGACGTCACGACAAACAATTTTTTGAAAAGTAAATTTTTTGGAAGTTCTAGACCTTGTACGGAAGCAAAAATAGCATCATTCGATTCGCCGTGAAAAACTGCATCAGATAGAGACCTTTTTAGGCCTTAACAACCAACTTCAAAATTTGACCTCACTTGACCTGACCTTGACCTTGACCTCAAACTTTAAATTAAGTACATGTTTTTAGCTGTTTATGATGAGATCTTTCGATTGGCGTTTGAATTTTCCCAATCGGACCATTAGTTCGGGAGATAACAGGGGGGGGGGGGGTAAAATTTACCCCCCCCCCGCAGCCCCACGCGTTCGGCTGGAGACCCCAGCCCCGCGCGGGTTACCCCACGAGCCGCTTGGGGGGCATAATGTTCCCCCCTTACGTTTTGTGGAATATCTCCGAAACCTGATGAGCTACGAACTTGAAACTCGGCATAGCTTCAAATGAATACCTAGGCAGTGTTGAGGAAAGTTTGGTGGTTGTAGCACCTAAGATGACGTCACAATGACGTCATAAAGTTTTGTCATTTTCCGACATGGAGCGTTTCTGATGTCGCTAAGCATGCAACTCAACTGTAAATGAACTAAATACTTAAAGGGACTCTCCCACCTTCAAAAAAGTTAATGAATTGCCATAAAAATGATGTTCCTTGGTTCGGAACGATCAAAAATGAATATCTACCAAATTTCACCGAAAAATATTCACTGGTGTTCAAGATATTAGGCTTTTACTTTAGTTACTTTTTGGGATCTCCGCTGTTCCTCGCAACTTATTTGGAAGCAATAATTTGGCAGCCTCAAAGTGCAGCAGACGCTGCGCGCAAAGCAGTGTATACCTACCACCACGTGTTAACGATGGCTTTAGTCTAAGATTTTAAATCGTTAGATCTCCGCTGACGTCACAAATTCTAAGGGGGCATTACAATTCATTAGCCCACACGATAGATCGACCAAAAAAACTTAAAATTTACACCCGCATATTTTATTTTTTGCTTAAAATTGGTCTAATGGGTTGTGATGGGCGGGGAACCCAGCTGTGGCAAGGTTTTTTTTTCTTCGAACAACGGTTAGTGAGATATAGCCTCGGGCACTTCCTGGAGGTCACGCTGCAGCCCTATTTTTGGCGGCTTATAACTCAGAAACTATTGGTTTTCTATAGTAAAACTTGATATGGTTCAACTCGCAATCAACCAACAAACGTTTTGGCTATCTCGGATTTTCGATTTTTGAAAATTTTGATCACGTGATATCTTGATATTTTTCAAAGAGTGACCTTGATATTTTCCCAACTGAAAGTCGCAATTTTGTCTGATGACGATTAAAGCCTTATCAATTGTCATTCATATGCGATAATAAAAAGAATGGCTTTCGGCCTGCGTTGACCTTAAGTCAGGTAATTTTTATGACCTTCCCATTCTTACGAGCGGGAGCGACAGCGAGATCTCGAGAACAAAGCAAGATAGCGACAAGGCGTAAACGGCACAGGGGACACATGGATAAGGTCTACAATTTTTACCCAGGTCATTTTCAGGTCAGGTCAAAGATGACGTCACAGGGGTAAAAAGAAAGTCTAAATGGCGGCACTAAATATATATGAAGTTTTTCTCGAATAACATTCGAAGTATCCCAGCTAGGAACAAACTAATAGCACCATCGTGATCCTCTCGTCGATCCGCATCGAAACATGTGTATGTTGACCTCGAAAGGTCAAGGTCAAAAGTTGACCTTAGGTCACGTGACCTTAAGGTCATCATATATATCATTCGATGGGCCTTGACGAGCTGAACACAATGGGCCTATCCGCGCAGCTGTATCTCAAACCTGTAAGGAGTTATTAGCAAAAAAACTTCTGGTGACCTTTAATGACGTCACATGACCCAAGAGCAACGTCACAGTTGACCAAGAGCAAAAAAGGTCTCAAGGTAGTCAAAGTTAGTCGCATATGGAGTCACTCATGGTATATTAGGCAATTCTGACGCGTTTTAGTGTAAAAATAAGGGAGCTGATTTTCCCCCAATTGACTTATAATGGGGTGGTCAAGAAATTGACCTGACCTCAGGTCATCGGTATCGAAATTCAAAACGAACTGGCGCTAGGTGAAAGCAAACGGATTGGTGCCTATTCTACGTCTCTTTCTTTATTAGATCAAAAGGTACAGCCAAAAACGGAAAATTATTGTGTGTTCAACGCGTGACCTCGGATGACCTTTCAGCGGGTCACTGATACAAAGCTGCACCAGTGCCATCAATAATAGCCTAACTCAACATGATTCAAAAGTGTTTGAACCGGTCAGATGCGTTTCGGTGGTAGCCGATATTTCTGCCATTGACTTATAAAGGACAAGTCAAAAAATGACCTGATCTCAGGTCAATGCAGGCCGAAAGCCACTTTTTTATTGTCGCATATGAATGACAATTGATAAGGCTTTAATCGTCATCAGACAAAATTGCGACTTTCAGTTGGGAAAATATCAAGGTCACTCTTTGAAAAAAGATCAAGATATCACGTGATCAAAATTTTCAAAAATCGAAAATCCGAGATAGCCAAAACGTTTGCTGGTTGATTGCGAGTTGAACCATATTAAGTTTTTACCATAGAAAATCAATAGTTTCTGAGTTATAAGCCGCCAAACATAGGGTTGCAGCGTGACCTCCAGGAATTGCCTGAGGCTTTATCTCGGAAACCGTTGTTCGAAAAAAAATCCTTGGCACAGCTGGCTTCCCCGCCCATAACAACCCATTAGACCAATTTTAAGCAAAAAATAAAATATGAGGGTGTACGGCTTTGGTCGATCTATCGTGGAATGCCCCAGAATCCAAAAACTGCAAGTTTGAAATTCCATATCTCCGAATTCAAGCATTTTTCGATGTTGTGAGTGCCCAAACCGGTATTTGCAGGCCATGGCCACCAATTTGGCTATCTCAACTCAAAACTAATGATAAGGTGGGATGGTCACTTTAAATAGCAACAGGATGCATCTAAGTACACTTCCATCTAGTTTCTGATCGGTCCTTTATATTCGGTCCCATATATCGGATATATCGTGAGGAAACTAAGAGTCACAAATCTATAATTTGACTTCTGACGTCACTTTGACGTCATTTCAAATGACATTAACACCAAATTTGCTCACAACCTCGGCTAGATATTAAACAAGCTGTGTCCGAAGTTTCACTTTTCTATATCTTCGTGTTGCAACGATATCGTCGCAGAAGTAAAGAGGGGGGCAACTACCGGGTGGCCCAGAAAAAACGTTCCCAACTTTAAATCTATATTTCTCAGAAAGTGATAACGATACAACATTGAAACTTCGAATAGTCAATGTGGCACACATTTTCAGTAAAGGGTGTGATTTTCATGGTGTTCGGTAAATTACTTTTTAAACGGTTTGTGTTTCAAGCATGCCATGCAAAAATTACTTTTTTGCTCCGATGTTTACTCAAAAATGTGAGTGAACGGGTCACTTTCACCCCGCGGCACCGCGGCCTAGAGCCATGACTGCTACTGGCAGCTAGTCTCATTGATGGTTCGGGTCTCAGGATGACACATTCCCTCAGGCAACCACGATGGCTCTGTGCCAGCGGCATCGGAAGAAGTTAGTTGTGGCTCAAATGCTTTCCTGGCTGACATTCCTGGGAAAAGGTAGCTTTTCAACCAGTTTTCTTTTTTGTCATCTGCTGGCAATGTTGTTTTTCATAAAATATGATGTGGTCTTCTGGCACAGGAACTAGTCTGTTTTAGTTTGTTTTCCTTATCCGGTCGATTTACTGTTTGATCTACTGAAAGGAGGGTAATCAGCAGTAATCCATGCACCGTGCCACTCCTGCTCGAATCATGATTTGGTGTTAAAACGAATGGCATCCATGAGCACCATTTTGGCTCAGTATTTGAATATTTGGCACATAAGTAAGACACAAATATTTAAAATAAGAACATACGTGTTGGTTTCATTCACATGCTCTATTTTTCTATTCTTTTTTTTTTATAACATGGGGCGCCTAACCCAATCATCACTATCGTTTGACATCGGCAAAAAAAAAAACGTGTTGCTTAATTCAACTCAAGGTTGCTATACTCTGTTCCGTGGTTCCGTTTCAAGTTTGCAGCCGAAGTGCCCTGCTTAAAGCAGTGCGTGATTTCTGTATATACAGCTCTTACATTATAAGACGCAAATTCTTGAGCGGAGTAGCGATCTGCCGAAGAAAATCCGACTGCAAGCTTGATATGGAACAGACTATAGCTTGAAAATTATGGTATAGTGTTATAATTTGGCATACCAATGCGCAAAGAAATGACGCAAACTTGCTGAAAATTTTGTCTCGTTATTTGCACTCGAATTTGATATATAGGCCTCC